TTAAAATGATACACACTTTTTTCAAAAATAAAATGTTGATAACGAATTTCTTTTATATTTTTTAAAAAATTTAAAAAGTATTGAAAAGTATTTCTTTTCAAGTTTTGAAAAATCAATGAATACTACAGTTAACTGGTAAGATGACTTTGAAGTTTGAAGCATGAAGAGATAAGTCCAATACTCATTTGTCTCGAAAAGAAAAAACATTTTCTTACATGTCAGATAGCAATTTATTTTAAAAAAAATAATAAGATAAATATTATTAATATTCATTATCAATATGTTGCAGGATTTATATTCCTTATACACCGATAGCAATTTACTTGTTGCGTTGGCGTTTGTGTTAAGTGCTGATCGTGCATCTCTTGTCACCTCATCCAACCCCAGCTCCAATTTACTCATAACATCTTCGGAAGGCATGCCTCTACACTTTCCCTGATCAGAGAATCAATTTTTGTCATATCATTAACGCATGTGAACAGCGAAATTAACGAGTGGACCATTTGACGTATCATTTTCAACTTCAAATATTCTCAATCATAAACATTTTTATAGATATCTTAATTGGATTCCTCTCAATCCCATCAGTCCTTTATTTCTGGTTTTTTAAATCCGTTTTCCTAGGAATTTTTCTGTATAACTTGACACAAAGATATAACAACATTTTTTTTATTTTTTTTCACTTTACACAAATATATAAATAATGTAAGTAGATCACAGGTTAGAGGGAAATGATTGTTGCAAAGATTCCAAAAGATTTAAGTTCTTTAAAAATAAAATAAAATAAAATAAAATGAAATGAAAAACATTATGAGCAGGGTCTCTATTTATATAAATAACGTTAATCTTGATTTGACAGTGTTGATCAATGATGAAAAAGTAACAAGATGTTTTTTTATGCCTTTACCTAACTAAAGAAACAAAAAACATTTCTATAACTTTGCTGCCTCGTTGGTCCAAATGATGGTCTCGACCTCCTCGCTCGTCCAGCACTTCATGCCTTAAAAGGATCAAAAGTTTGTTTGAAAAAAGAAGGCGTTACAGGTACATAAAGCATATTTAAACAGATAGGTTAGAGTAATCAATGGGCTTTTGCGATGAAATTCGGTGCAAAAAAAGTTAAAGTAGGCACCATGCTACTGAACATTGAATATGTTTGGGGGGTCCTTGAATGTCTTCATATCTGTCAATTTACATATGGGAATTGTTCTGCCACGGCAGGCATTTATGAAACTCAAAGATTCAGGGGTTAATAAAAAAACCAAAAAAAACAAAACTACAGCGCATGTGTATAATTGTACAATTATCTTACAGTATGTGGTTGTCGAGCTGATGGTACTTGAACGGTAGCTGATGAGAAAATTTGAGTATAAATATAATAATTAGACATCATATTTTATATATAAGTAACCACACTCTTGTATTTTTTATGTAAGAAAACATAGCCTATACATCTTACTGTTTAGAAATTTCCTTTTTGAGTCTTTTAAGCATCATTGTCCCACTTCCATTCTTAAAGAGTATAGTATAAATTTAATTGCAGATATTTTGGCCAAAAAGTGAAATCCCTAGTTGACCTGTTGGCATAACTCTAGTGAAGCACCATGAAAGCTTTCAAATTCAATATAGGAAAACAGGGATTTTCAAAATAATGTTGTTGATACGTGCTTGAAGCATCTTTGGTATCGCACGATCCAAGCGGAGAAAAAGATCCGTATAAATATAAAATTAATCTTAAAATAAACGGTATGAGTTAATTATTCAGCTTCACAAAGATTTGACAAATTATTTTATATTATCACTTGAATTAACCCATTACGGTCCAAATTTTGTTTAGCCTAAAACTGCCAAAGAAACTTACGTAAAAATTTTACCGTTCGTAAACAAAATTTCCAAGTGCAATAAACTTGAAGGGAAATATAATGGGGTGGTTCAGTTATCAAGAATCGAAGTACTTTTGTTTGTGAAATTCATGTTCCATTCCGCTTATCTACAAGGGCGCGTTTGTTAAGCGGCTTATTTGTGAAACACCGAGAAAGCACTGTAGGAGATAAATATTAGCAACGTTTGGTAGCTTCAATATCAAAAGTTTGCAGGGGAAATTTGTTTCCAGCAAAATGTGTTTATGTGATAAAAATTGTACTATTTGACAAATTTATTATTCGCAAATTGGGTGGAAATGTTCAGTCCCCGGGGAAGCAAATATTAAAGCGAGAATATACGGACAAATATAACCTTCAATTTGTACTGTACATATTGTCTTCGCAAAAGGTAAAGCTACCACAATGGCCTCTCCCATGGCTGAAAACCTTCCATTCGACGGGAAGAACTTGAAAGGCGTAATTTATTTGTTTTTTGTATTTATTTTGCAGAGACTCCTATGAGTTTTTGATGTTGTGAAAACTCGTTACTATGTTTACTACTCGACAAAAACAAGAACACCGTATGAGGTTTTCTTCTCTGTCGACGAAAACAAGAACATTGTCTTCACACCCGAACCCAGTGAAATGACCCTCCTTCGGTTGTTGAGGACACAGATGTGAACCAGATCTATTTGTCTTCAGCGACGTTATTAGAATATTTGAATCAAAAAGGATAAAGGTGGGATTATTTTGATAAAATAACCTCACATTCTCACTAATATTTCATAACCAACCAAACACAAACTCAGTAAAATTAGTTTAATTATTCCGGGAAAATATGAGTCTGCCACACAGCTTTTTATAACATTCCAGTAAAAATATATTTCCTAATACAATTCAGTAATAATTATTTTTCGGTTAAAAAAAAATTTCTCTTGTATCAAACGTCCCTGAGTGTTTATTTGGATTACAAAAGTTGAATTATAAATTAGAATTTTTATTTTTATTTTGAAGAGTTGAAATTGATTGATAGAATTAAAATTAATTTTAGAACAAATAAAGAAATATGATATAGAGTCACAATATCAATAAAGGATACCGACGACAATGCTGGTCAAAGGGCGTTTTAAAAAATTGATAGCACTTGTGATCTGCTGACTCAAACCGCGATGAGTTGTAAGAAAAATCTTTAAAAAAAAGAGAGATTGCAAGTAGTGATGATCATAGTTATGATTATGTACCATATAATATAATTCACAAACTCAGCGACATGTATTAAGGAATGTATTAAAAAAGGATTGTATTGGATGATACATATTGTATCATATGATGGTAGTATACGATACGAAAATAAATCAAAATTTTTAATTTTTAATATAAAAAATAAAATTTTGATTTGTAATTTAAATTAAAAAAATCTACAAAAATTATTATTAATAAGGAAAAGAAAAGAAAATTTTAATTTTTAATTAAAATTCAAAAATCACTCTAAAAAATCTATATTAATAAAAGAAAATTATATATATATATATATATATATATATATATATATATATATATATATATATATATTTGTTATGTATATTTTTATATTTTAAGTCCTCGAATGATAAAAGTAAAAGCACCAAACTCCTTTGGCACAGGTGATAAAGAGCCTCAGCCCCTTAATCAGAGGTCTCGAGTTCAAGCCCTGGGAATGAAAAAAAAGGGTTTGGGAGAGAGCCGCCCCCGAAAGGGTCCGACAGTGCTCGAATGAGAATTAGTCTTCGGTTACGGCTAGAGGATATCCTTGAGATAACTCCAAAAAAAAAAAAAGTAAAGGTATCACCATATAAGAATAAAATAATGTCAATTAGCTTAATAAACAAAATGATATTGCTAATGAGAATAATAGGGGGAAAAGATATCAGATTAACAAGAAATGGGAGCTAAATCGAATGACTACACTAATGAAAAAGATAATAGATTGGGCTTAGCCCCTCTTTATTTACAAAAAAAGAAGAAGAAAGATAATAGATTACTTATGTCACTGATAGATGCGGATGGTGATAGTAGTAAAATATTAATTTGATGATTGATAAATAGAAAAATAATTGATTTGCACTTTAGTTACTTATTTTACTTATTCTTTTTGGAATTTAAATTTATATGATATTAAGTATATTTTAAATTTTAATTTTTTTTTTATATTTATGTATCGATTTATGATACATATGAAAAATCTATCAAACAATATACAACGCGTATTGTAATTAAACAAGATAGTTGAAAATAAACGGCAGCGACGTGGCCGTTGTTAACAATGGTTCCTGGTGTATATCAACGGCAATGGTTTCTAAAATATATAATAAACAATAAATATGAAATCTTTAGTATTTAGAATCATAATTCTTAATGTTTAAATTAAGAACTAAAATTTTAATTTCGTAAAATTAGACTTAGAAGTAAAAATTCAATTATAATATATACAACAAATAAAATAATTAAAATTAAAAGCTTCAATTTCAAAACTCAATTCAAGTATCATCTATATGTTCTTCCTGAATAGACCTATTTGTAATAAAATAAAATAAAAAAATCTTAACCTTAAAATATGATAGTGTCTATGTTTAAAAGCCGGCAAAACACAAGGTCATAATAAAAGTCAGCCGGCTAAAATAGCAAACAATTGTTTCTTGAGAGAACAACAAGTTTTGGTCGACTCCTGGAAAATAATTTCAAAAATTAATTAGGCATAAGAAATTTAATCATATAAAAAAAAACTAATTGAATTAATGTTATTTATAAATTGACCAAGAACTTGAATAAATCAAATTACTAGCTAGATTTTTCACGCACACCTAATTGAATTCTTTTGTTTTTTGAAGAGACATCCAAAAATTTCCATTCTCTCAAGACAAAGCTGACCCAAATGTCTGAACAGCAATGTGACACATATTATAGAAGTCCAGTGCCATGATAGATATTCGTATTACCTTTTTTCCTTAGAGGGAACATGGATCATGACGGCTCTCAATCACATTTCACGCTTGAACAGAGACAAATCGACAGAGATAAAGAGACCCCACTTTAATTAACACGATATTTATAACATACCAATCAATATGTCCTCCCTATAAAATGAATAACAGCAAATTTAAAAGATAAACTCTAATACGACAAAATGGACCTTGATACTTATCTTCAATGATAACAACAACAATAAACAATAGCAAGAAAAACCCAGAAAGAGTATATATGAATTGAACACAATTAAAAGGTAAAAACAAAAAATTTATGTTCATAAAAGAACAGCAGGAAAGTTAATCTTTGGAGCTTTGGTACTGTTCGTCTCCTTCCTGCTTGCACATATACATAATGATATTCTCAGTCAGAGGGGGAAGGCTTAGTCTTCAAGCGGTACAAGAGCTTCTTCTTCTTAGAGCTTGGATTGTCAATGGTGAGAACAACTTTCCCAGGTTCACTAATATTGAAACTGTTGCAAAGCACTGGTTCTTCTGATGAAGCAACCTTTCTAGTCTTCTGCACAATTACTGTATAGCTTCCTTCTGTGCTTGGCACGAATTCTGCACCATAGCTTACTTCCCACCCTATTACTCTGAGCTCCCAAGAGAGTAAGCATTTCTGCTGGTTCCCAAGAGAAAAAAAAAAAAAGACTTCAAATCATTATACCATATATTAATAACAATGTACAGTGTACGATTTAATTGCTACACCTGGTTTTCGTTTGCAGTGTCAAGTCCTTTATTCTATAATTGGCTTCAAATAATAATAAAAAGAATGATGTAGAGCTTAAATATGCAACCCTATAGATGAGTCAAGATCAACATCACTAGGTAGTTATCCAGACTGATGAAGAGTATGAATACTCGTTAAATGTTGGATGCTCCAATGGTTCAACATAAATTTCTCTCATCAATCCTTATGAGGCAAAATTGAAATATCTGACAAACTTTATATTCAAGGTTACTTTATTGTTCACTCAATTACCTAGCCAATCAAGCATCAAAATGGTCCCCACATATTTTATGGGTTTTCTAAACGCAACGGGAAATAATTTTGGCTCTTAGCAATAATAAAAATGAATTGAAATAGAATTCCACTATTCCGGTCTGGTCCCCTAGCAATAACACACAGCTAATGAAAGAAGCTGCTTTTTATGTTTGTTTTTTCCTTTTCCCCAATTGGAGTATGTTCTTTCTATATTTATTTTACTATTTGCTCCTGAATTTTCCTCCAGGTCAGCAGCAATTTGTTGTATAAAAACATGAGAACTAAGCAAACGATGAATAAATAATATTGTGAACAGAGGAATCCTATGAAAGATTCCCCCATTCCGAGGTTGCATACTCTGGATTCTAAAAAGCAATCAATTCCGACAAAAACTAACCTCAGTAACAGGAAATTCAACAGTATGTTTTGCTGCTGGCCTCAGTGTGATTTCTGTAACAGCATCGGTATTTCCGAAATCCCCATTTTTGCTTAGTCCGCCGTACTTGACCGGAAGTTGCTCTGCAGCTATGTATCTGAAAGTGCAAAGAGCAAATTAAAATTATGCATAATAACCCAAATACAAATCAAACTGAAAACGCAAATTTTGAATCTTTATGTTTCCACCTCAAAAGGGTCTCTGTTGATTTTGAAGGCCCAGCAAAGACAAACTTGCTTTTTGTTCTCTGGGTAAGAAAAGGGCTTATCATCCGATTCACAGCCAGGTACCACCATGGCACATTGATGAACACCTGAACCAAAAAAATGAAATATTTGAATACCCATTACACGTTTAAAATTAAAATTTACCAGCACAAAATTCAGTACCTGTTTGGCTACAAATTCAGGATAGTTATCCTGAAGCAATTGCAAGGCTTGTTTAGTAGCTTGTCTAAGTTCCCATTTGCCAGGTCCAGGAGAATTCTTGAGATCATTGACCTGAACAATGGTGCATATGCCACCGGGGTTGAAATCCAATTTCCTGATACTCTTTTCGAGGAACTGAATTCTCCATCTCAGGAACTTGTCCCTCTTCTCCTCATCAGAAAAAGTCTTCTTGTATAACTCCTTGTTTTGGAATTCCCCATATATGTTATAACACACGGGATGACCTTCCTTGTCGAATCCATTCATGTAAACCACTTTCTCCAAGTCATCACCCAAGTTCTCCTCCATCAACTCGTCCATTTTGAATTCTTTTCTCCAGCGGATTGTGTTCTTGATCATGGCAAAAGCATCTTTCACCTTGAAATCCCTGGCACGTAGAAACTTCAAGAGAATCACATCGCTCCTCCCATCAGCAAGCAGTGGTATCCCCCAAATGGATACTTCTTCGGGTTGCAATGGTGGTGAAGCTTCATCCTTGACTTTTTCTGCCTCGGACACTTTCTCTTCAGCAGGCTGCGTAACCGTAACAGAGGAAGAAACAGCTACAACAGTCTCTTCAATAGCCTCAACAGTTTTTGCTCCATCATCATCCACAGATGGAGGAACAGCAGCAGCAGCAGCAGTAGCAGCAGCATCAACCACCTCGGTGGTTTCTTTCACTTCTTCCTTCTTTTCTACTTCATCTTCCTCTGTCTTTGTCGCAACTTGCTCCTCCTCATCGGTTTTTGCAAGTTGTGGAGGTTCTGCTGGGGCAGGAGCAGCAGCATCAGTGCTTGGTTCTGAAGACTGTTGTTCCTCATGGGGTTGTTCCTTGTCAGCATCTAGGGTGGTTGGCTTTTCTTCTTTGGGTGGAGGAGATGGTGGGGAAGAGAACTCGTGCTTGTTGAGTGCATCCTGAATAAGCTGCTTAAGGTCTTGGAGTGCCTTGTTCTCATTGTCGGGAAGATCAGAAAGTTTGGTACTTTCTTCCTTGAAAGAACCAGAATCAGGGACTTTGTCTTTGTCATGAGTAGTACTGTTGTCAGCATTGGGTTTGGAGAGGTGAGTCTCCAGAGTTACAGTCTCCTCAACGGGTTTCATTTTTTCTGGCTCAGGATGTGGATCTTTCTGCTCTAAGGGAACTAGTGTTTCTGTTTTGTTAGGTTCTGGAACATCATTGACCAGCACTTCCTCCTCCTCTTGGGTTGTTGTTGTTGTTTGGTTTGGAATCTCTTCAGCCATGTATGATTGATAATGATCTGAACTGAACAAGATTTTGAGAGTGAATTATGGAGGAAAAGGGAACTAACAGTAATAGGTAGTGAGTGAGATAGAGGGGGTGTTTGAGGGAGAGCAGTTATAAATAACAGTGCAGTAGTGGGGGGTGGGGGTGTGAGGGGGTAGGGTTAGTGATGGGTCATGAAGCATGAGTTAAAAGGGAAAGATGGCCGTTGGTGTTGTGCTGTAACAGCTAGGAATGTGTGGGACATGTTTTCTTCACAATGTAATCTTATCTGTCCATTGCATTGTAAGTTGTAACGTTGTAATTAGGCTAATCATCGGCGGTTTTGCCGGCTACAACTCATCAATTATCCATGGGATGTGGGCCCTACCTACCAGTTACTCACCACAACTCAACTCAACAATTCCAAGCTATTTTCATATTTCTTTCCATAACTTGGCCAGTTTCTTTTTTTTTTTTCCTTACTTTTTTAAAGAATGTAAATGAAAGGGGGGGGGGGGAAATAACCTTAAAAAGTTGATGAAATTGAAACTCATGCGGTGGTATTATTAATACGCGTTGCACTTTGCATGTTTCTGTTCTACTTTGTTGTCGCTTCTGACTGTGTAGCTGTAACTCTATGATTCCGTCCAGAGGGTTAAAAAGTTTTGGTTAGACCCGCATGATGACGTACATTTTTTCATTCCATTAAATGTGAATGTGTTTGGACGAGGAATTTTAAGAGGGGAATGTAGTTTTAAGGAGAAACTAAAATTCTATACTGCAATTATTTTTTACTTTTTTAACTTAGAGTCTGTTTCTATGAGTTTTTTAAAAAGATTTTTTTTTATGCAATATTTTTTTTAAAGGGAGGTTTTTTAAAAGTTATAATTATTTTGCGTTAAGATGAGAATTTCTGAATTCCGAGGTATACCAACGACATGACACGGAATTTCAAATTCATGAGAATCCAATGTCATCATTTGGATTGACACGGTATCCGATGAATTTGAAATTCTCTGTCATTGCCTATGGCCTCAACTCAACAATAGACCATTGTATGTATGGCGCTTACATCTGGTCTATAACATGGCCTGCCCTTAGCTCAATGAGGCCCAATCTAACTGTAACATTGCATCTATCCTCTTTGAGGCCCATTTTTCAAGGCAGAAGCGATTAACCGTGGAATCCTAAGCCTGACTCTTTGTAACCACGAGTCCATAACCACAGAAAACAATAAATAAATAAATAAATTGTAAGTTACACAGTACTACTGAAGCCAACAGCCAACAGGGGCTCTTGTAAGCTGGGCAACTTTGAGTTTGTCGTCTAGTCGGGTAAAATTTTAAATAGCAATTTTAATATTTAAATTTTTTATATCACGAATAAAATTCACCTGGATATTGCAGAGTTAAAAGTTGTTTATTATAAATTATGAGACAGTTCACATCTATATCACTTTTTTCTTAGTGTCTGATCAACATTAAATCATTGGATTTATTTGATATCATTTTATAACCATTAATTTTAATAAAAGTGGTTGTAAAGAAAAAATAAAGTAAAAAGCAAATGTTATGTTACATGAAAATTTTGTTTTCTCCTACTCTCATATCATTTTTCGTGCAAATTTTTTTTTTTTTTTTTCCTAATATTTGGTGGGTCCTACACAAACATGTCTCTGTAACATGATATATCAATTTTCATGTTACATAACATTAACAAAAACCAAAAATAAATATAACCTCTTCCATAAATAAATTAAGAGAAATATGTTTCTCTTGCACACACAAAATAGGTAGGTTTCCCATGAATTAAATAGTGTCGTCTATTTAAAAATGTTTTCTATTATGTTTAAGATAAACTAAAATTGTACACTGTTTATAATAATAATAGTCATCATAATAATAAGGATTTAATATTTATTATATTGTAAAAGATAAATTTACTTACTACACATACATAAAAGTGTATGTAGTCCCTATTTTTTTATATCTCTCTATTCTTCTCATATGGGTCTCATATATTTTTATGTATGTGTAAGAGATATATTTATCTCGTAAAACATGAGGAATATTAAACCATCATATTGTGATTTGATTTTATGCTAACAAATAATCAATTTAATACCTTTGTTTTACCCAACAGAAACTGATTTTTTTGTTTTTTTATGTTTTAAAAATGGATTTAATATTTTTTTGATTATGGGAGATAAAAGTTCAAAGCATTGTCGTTTTGAGATTAAAAAAAATGTATTTTTATAATTCTAATCTATTATGGGATTATATTAGTATTTTATTGTTATAATTTTTTTTCTCCCAATCTCAAAACAAAGAAAAAAATTATTGCCAAAGTCTAAAATACAAAATTTATCTGGATATTGCCAAAGATAATTTAGCAATCTAAAAATAATAGTCATCATAATAATAAGGGTTTAATATCTGGATATTGCCAAAGATAATTTACCAATCTCAAAATAAAAGACTAAAATTATGCTGTTGTTCTGGATATTGTTCGAGGAAGAGACCCTGATGATCTATCGTCAAAAGATAGCTCCATTGATGATCAATTCCTGGTTGACATTACTAAGTTGACTGTTGGATATCTTGATGATGCTGAAATGGAGGTTAGTTATCCAAGTAATTTTGCAAGTAAGCTTTGACATCATATATATTACCAAATTCCATGAAGACATTTGCATTTCTTGACTGTTGTTAGGATAATATTATGAAACTAAATTTCTTTTCCTATGACAACTCTAGGTTGTCCATGTTCTTGCATCCCAGGATGTCAAGATGGTTACTTTCCAATTGAATTACACAGTTGATTCTGTACAAGTACCTTAAATTTCACAATAGATGTTGATATGCTGGCTCACTTTGATCAGTGGAAATGCTCAGGCCAGGACAATGTGTATGAAGCCCAAGATCAGTGGCCCACTGAATTAAGGCGTGCTCGCATAATTCCAGCGGTGGACTATGTACAGGTTTTTTATTTCCCTTAAATAACAGCATGTTTTATATGAAGAATTTGCTCCATTTCCCTTTTGCTGTTTTGCATATTTATTTTTGTTGAAAGTAAGTTTAAATTTGAAGTATTGTTTGTTAAGATATGTTTAGATAGGATCTGATTGTTAAAGATAATTTGTTTAAGTTGTTTCCTAGTTATATGATAGGTTGTTATTTTCTCCTTGTATATATAATCCCCATTGAAGAGGAAGATAAATGAATGAAATGTATTTACTGTACACATGTTTAGCTTTTAACATGGTATCAGCTAGTTTTTGATCCTGGGAATTATTCTCTTTTCCCAATTTCCTATTCTATTTTTTTTTTGTTCCTTTTCCCCACCCGTTACTTTTCCCAAACCCATATTCATTACCCGAACCCATTTTTTTACTGTATTCATTACTTTTTATTCATTACCCGAACCCAGCCGACCCGCTCTTCCTTCTGCAAATACCTAGCCGCCGCGCCCAGTGTCTTCATCTTCTCTGATAATGGACGCTGGTACAGACGCCACCCATTTGAACAACCTCCAGCCCACCGCGACCATTGGGTCGTCCTCCTCTTCCAATATTGTCATCCAACAAGAGACTTCCTCCTTCCCCATCACCATTGTTCTGGACGATTCCAACTTTCCTCTCTGGTCGCAGTTGATGGACATGCGAATAGGGGCGCGAAATAAGTCTGGCTACCTCACTGGTACCACGCCGAAGCCCCTGCCCAGCGATCCCTCCCACGATGCTTGGGTAACCGAAAATAAGAGGGTCAAGAGTTGGCTCATTGATGCCATGTCTCCTTCCTTGATGCAGAGGTTTATTCGCTTGGAGACAGCCCATGACATTTGGGAAGCTGCGCGCCGTACGTTCTATGATGGCTCCGACGAGACGTGCCTCTTCGACCTCAACCAACGGTCATTTTCCGTCAAGCAAAACAGACGTCCTCTCTCTGTTTTCTACAATGAATTACTCTCCATCTTCCAGGAGATAGATCACCGGACATCCTCCCCTGCCTCCACCATAAATGATGTTGTTCAAAGCCATTCTTCCCTGGCACGCATGCGGGTTCATCTTTTTCTTGCAGGTTTGGATCCTGATTTTGATCAGGTCCGTGGCGAAATTCTTCGGAAGGATATGAAATTAGACCTTGAAAGCTCCTATGCATATGTCCGCCGTGAACACCAGCAACGAATTACAATGAATCGCCCTTCTTCTGCCGAAGCTTCTGCTCTTGTGACACAGGCTCCTCGTCCCTCCTCTGTGCATCTCCCACATCGCAGCCGCAAGGATGGTCCTCCCCACAGAGATGGTGCCCCTAGCGCCCCTGGCAAGCCCTTCATCTGCACCCACTGTGGTGAATCCGACCATTCAAAGTCTCGGTGCTATGAACTTGTAGGATACCCGGAATGGTGGGATTTTAACAAGCGTCCCCGCCGCAAATTGCCATCTAAGGCTCTGCAGTCTTCCTCTACTGGTGACACCACTTCCTCTTCCTCTGCTAATGTTGTTTACGAAGGAATCTTGGGTAATCCTCTTTCCCTTTCTGCTCATTCTGGGAATTTAATTTGGATAATCGATACTGGAGCCTCTGATCATATGATTTGTGATGCATCTGTCCTCAAACACTGTAATCCCTGTTCTAAGACCACTATTACTACTGCCAATGGTGGTTCGGCCCCTGTTATAGGACAGGGCACTGTTGTTCTTTCTCCCACACTGACCCTTCACTCTGTTCTTGTAGTTCCTACCCTTGATTTTAATCTAATTTCTGTTAGTAGATTGACCTCTGATTTGAAATGTAATGTTATTTTTTGTTCCACGTATTGTATATTTCATGACGTCCAGAGCAGTGTGATTCTTGGCTATGGAGTTAGACATGGAAATCTCTATTTTTTGGACCTCTCGAATAAAGCACCTGTGAAGGCTTCTACTGCAAATTCGAAATTCTCTGCTGTTTGGCTTTGGCATAGAAGGCTAGGCCATTTATCTTTCATTTATCTCTTTAAATTATTGCCCCATTTA